AATACAGTACTGTATGTATACAGTATGAACGAATTATTAATCAACAGTGATAATTCAACAGAATTAGATTTAAATGAGAATCAGTGTTTCCCCTACCATTATACAGGTGGAGTGCCCCACCCCGTCAACAGAATTGAGCATCCCGCATACCAAACTGAACTTGCCCTTCCCACCCCCACCCGGCACTGACATATCACTAAGCTAGCTGTGCAAAATACAGGCTCTCTAGCTAAAAAGCCAAAGGCAGCACTCACGTTGCCTCTTCCCTCATGTTGTATGCCCCCCACCCCAGCTCAAAAACTGTTAGTACAAGCTGCGCTCAGACATGTCTCCGTCCCCCCATCAGCAAAAATCATAGATGAGATGAGCACCCCGCCATGGCAAGCTAACTAGGGGAAACACTGGAGAATGTTTTGTTCCAGTTAAACCTACTTGTTTGCTTTTCTTTTCTTTTTGTATGTTATATTATTGTCATGCAAGTTGTTTTTAACTTAAGAGTAAATCTCATTTCATTTAATGATGAAAACTTATTGATGAAAGTAGAACAGGTTGAATTTAAGTCCTATTTCATTTAAATCAATTCAAACATTGAATCACATTACTGAGGTATCGTCAGGGTTAACGTTCAGCAGTTTTTAAAAAAGTTCAGAGGTAGTTCTTCACTTGGCTGTGTGCCGGCACTGAGCTGTCCTTGGCAGTCTCATCATTTTACCTGAAATTATGACCTGTTTTTGTGCATATATTTTTCATCTTTTCTGTTTTAGTTTCTTTTACTGGAAGGAGCGTCCTGCTTGCTGTCCTCTGCTTTGCAGCCGCTCACATCTGGTTCCTGCAGCGGAGTTGAGAACCTGGAACTGACGGTAGAATCCCGTCTTCTCAGAGCCAAACTCCACCTGCAGCAAGGAAATGCTGCTCTGAGGTACCAACACTTCAGACATGACTGATGTGTGTGTTCAGATTCAGTGTTTGTTTAGGTAAGTATCATGAAATGTTCTGCTTTAGCTCCAAGGTCGCAGCGTCCTCGCTGATGCTTCTGCAGTCGTCACCGGTCCTTAAGAGACAACCTACTGAAAGTCAACAGGTAGCAGAGTGTTTGTGTTGTTGTTCAGCAATGAATATTACAATCATAAAATATATATTTAATAGTCTGGATGTTTCTGAATCCGTCTCTGAATTATTCAGATCCATTTTTTTTTTTTTTTTCAGCTCTTAACTTGTTCATCAATTTTTATTCTATTTCAACAAGTCATGTCTCAAAACGTTCAGCTCATTCAGGACATTCCTGCTCTGACTTTTGATATTTGGGCTATTTTTTTCTATTTATCTTTGTCGGCCATGTTTTTCTTTTTAAAAATTAATGTAGCTCTCTTCACATCCGTCAAACCCTTTGAGCTGTTTGCAACCTTTGACTGCTCATTTCAGCTTTGGTTATGATTCAGCTCTTTGAAGCTTCTGTGTGCTAATTTCAGCTTCTTCGGCTATTTTTCTGCTCCTTTCTGCTCTTTTCAGGTGCCTTCAGCTCCTGTCAGTTTTTTCTGCTAATTTCAGCTTATTTCTGCTAAATTCTGCTTTTTTCCCCTGCTTTTTCAGCTCTTCTTTATGTCTTCTTCTGCTAATTTTACCCTTATTTTTTGCTATATTTTTCTAATGTTTGCCTTTTGAAATTCTTTTTAATAATTTCAAAATTTTATGCTCCTTTCGGCCTCTTTCTGCTAATTTCAGCTTTTCTTTTAACACTTTACAGCTACTTTTTTTTCTAATATTAGCCTTTTTCCCCTGCTCTTTTCAACTTCTGTACTTTTTTGACACTTTCAAAAAAAATTATAATCTTTTCAGCCTCTTTTAGCCTATTTCAGCTTTTCTGCTGCTTTCTACTTTTATTTTCCTGTCTTCAGCAAATGCCAGCTGCTCAAATTCAGCTCGCATTAACTGTTTAGAGATGAAACCTTTTCAGCAGCTTTCAGCTCAAATCTTTCAGCAAAAAGCATTCAGACTGTATTTTCACAGGAAATTATGATTCTGTGGTTAGTAATAGAACATAAACTCTGTTTTTGTACACACTTTATCACCATTAAAACCAAGTTACCTGCTGCAGCAGTGGGGGTATTATTTTAATGTTTCATGCATGTGTTACATGTTCCCTAAAGGGCTCTAAGGCCTGCAGGGAGTCAGGCACCCTGCAGGGAGACTGTCCCAGAGCTGCTGAGGTGGGTGAGAGAATCGGAGTCTTCCTGTGGCTGTGCTGCCGCCTCACCCTGGTTCAGAGCCTCGTGGCCAACATCCCTGAAGCTGCAGCTCTTTGTCCAGGTTTGGACATTTTCTTTTTCTTTGCTTGTTATTTTGGGTTGCGGGTAATTCTTTTAAACTAAAATGACAAGACATGCAATTATCTTAACTAACTATCTCTGGCTGTTAACACCCCCCACACCCCAGAAAATAAACTCTATGTTGATGATCATCAGAAAATGCAGAAAGTGTTGATTCAGTCCTTTCCTGAAAGTGATGTGCAGTACAGGTGTAAAAGAATGGTTATTTATAGACCTCTTGTGTGTGTTTGTGTCTTTTTAAGGTAAGAACATAAATGAGGAGACAGCCCGGGTGGTACAGGAAGGTCTGGATGAATGTGTGCATTGGGGAGACTGTGATATTCAAGCCCTGCTGATGTTGGAGGGGGCAGACCTGGAAGCTCAGAGAGGCCGGACAGAAGATAGTGTGAAGATGCTGCAGGTATCAAACACACAGACAATCCTTTATTTTTGATTTGTATTAAAACAAAAACACAACAAGTCAGTGAAAAGCTCCTGTATCAAAGATTTTACATTTGGTTTTGCATTGTTTTTAATAGCGCATCCTTTGTGCATTTGATGATGTCATTATTTTAATTTTGTCTATTCTCTTTATTTGTTGACACATTTTTCAGTCTTGCTTCATTTTGCTTTGAAGGATCTTTTATTATCTTCACTATGATGGAGATTTTTTTTTTAAACTGTAGTTTAAAATTCATAGTATGTTCAAACAAACAAAACAAAACTAAACCAAACCATCAGGGCAGCACGATGGCTCAGTTGTTAGCACTGTTGCCTCACAGCAGGAAGATCCTGGGTTCAATTCCTGGTGTGGAATTGAACCCAGGATTAGAAAAGATCCAAAAGTATGAGTAAATCTAAAATATCTGTTTTATTTAGTCAGTATTATTTTTGTGTCCGTTTGTGTAGGTGGGTGTGCGTGTTTTCTGGATTCTGTTGACTTTGGAGGAATGTTTTTATTTTTATTTTAATTATAATCATGTGAGTTTCCACAGTTGTTTGTATGACCATAAACTAGACTGATTTGAAATAACTGGACAAATATTTACTGTGTTTTTAATATGACCCAATTACTATATATCTAAACATTATAATGTAACAAATTGTAACGTAGTATACTTTGTTCCGTGTTTTCAGGGAGCAGTGGGGCTCCTGTCAGGACGGACGATGCCTCCTGGGTCTGTTATGGCTTTGGCCCGGGCAGCTTTGATGCTCAGTGACCTGAGAGGAGCACAGAGTGTCACACTGCTCAGACTCACACAGAAACTCCTCAGAAAGCAGGTGCACCATCCAACTACATCATTGCTTTAATTATAAAACAGCTACTGTACATCCACTTCTCGTGTCTGCGGTCTGAAAGGAGGCGAAGAAAAGACATTATTTAGCTTTCAGTTTCAACTTGTTTTCTCTCTTCCAGCTGGGTGTTTTTGATCAAACTCTGACTTCTGTTGATGAAAAGATGTCTCCTCCTGTATCCAGAAATATCTACCTGCCCTACTTTGACATGCTGAACAAGATCAGTTTGCAGATTGGTAAAGTATAAACTTTCATAAAAAATAAAAAATAAACTAACATGTTGTCTCTCTGTTACTGAAGCTCAGAGCAATCTTCCAAATTAAATTAACAAATGGCTTTAAGCCTTATCTTGACGTGTCCCAAACATATCTTGTAAAGAACAATGTTACAAAATCTAAGTAAAGCTTGAATTATTGTCCTCTGACAAATTGCAGCTAGAGTAATAATTTGCTGCTGATCCACACAAACACGTTGATCAGTTGCTGTGTTCCTTCATCGGTTTTTCTTGAAGCCTTCTGTCTTTGCAGAGGCCACCCTGAAACCTGGGGACATGGAAGGACCTGGTTCTGATGGATCATCTCAGACCACCTCCAGGAAGAATCACATCGAGACGGACCATCAGATCACCTGTTTGAAGAGTCCAAGCTCTTCCATTCCTGAGTGACGTCACTCATTTTGGACAAGTCATTTTGAGGAGCTGATGTTATTTTTGTTTGTTTGTGTTTTTAAGTTGAGCAATATTGTAAACAAACTTATCTAGTGATATTGATACATTGTTAACTTGGTTATTATTAACATTTAGCATTAATTTACTGGCTTTTTATTGTAAAACTGTTCAGATATGCAGAAATAAACAGCAAAGATATAATTGAAAACACTTCCAGTAAACCTGAATATTCTTCATTTGAAGAATTGGTGCTCTGGATATTTCTAGTCACTCCAAATTGTTAATGGTCTTTTTATTCTGTGTTCTTTGTAAAGTGCATAGTTTTTTTTTTTTTTTTTTTTTTTCACATTATTCCTTCTCATTTTCGTATCTTCAAACTGCAATAAAAGCACAAGACGATAAGAGCTGTGAATAAAGGGTTTGTTGGATATCAAATGAAGTGCAAAGTGATGGGTTGTAATTCTGTTAATAATCCTGGGTCAAATATAACAATTTACAATGTAACATACCCAACTTCAAAATATGCACTATCAACTTATAAAAAGATATGAAACCATGTTAAATAAGATATTAACCAGGACTGATTTTAGTTTGAGTCAAACAATACTGAAAAAAATAAATGATCACTTTTTTGATCTATGAAATGTGAACGTTTCAAAGGGAGACAAAAATTGCAACAAAGACATGGAAACAACATAAATTGGTCACAAGGACAAATGCAGTGTAAGATGATCACAAAGCTGCAAAAATGAGCACTAAGCTACACAATATGTACTAAGAAATACTATGAATGAATTCATAAATTTGATTATTCAACAAGTTTGTGGTTGAGTTTAGGCCTGTGGTACAAGATTGGAGCAGCTTTTGAATGCATTTTTCTAAATCTGTTAAAACATCGTCTGTGAACATTAAACTTCATTTTGTAAAGCAAACCATAATGAAAACAACTGACAAATACACAACACAAACACAAATAAATATTGCAGTACAGTAATTAGTTGTGTTTGATTAAATAAGTAGATAAAAGTTAGCTTTAGAATGGATACGGAAGTGTCACGTTCAGTTTTATTTTGAAACCGGAAGTTGTGCATCTCCGTCACAACAGTAAAGAGTTAACGGTAGCTGACTCGTCCCATTAATTCAAGTTTGGTTCAACAGCGTCTGGTAGTTCGGTACCGGAGGTCCACTCGTTGTTCAGGGCGCTGCAGGGCCGGTAACTGGTGAGCTAAATGGGGCTTCGAGTTAAAAGATGATCGCTTCACTCTCGAGAGGAAGTTCTCTGGATGAGGTTCTTCATCATGGAGGCTACAGTGAGGTACCGTTCAGTTCCCTCATTAAATGTTGGTCAAGTTCGTTCAGACTGGCTTTAACAAGTGGGAGGCTAAACTAACTAACTAACCGTCTGCCTGCTGGACCAGAAAGAGTCACAGCTTCATGTAAAAACTGAATTAATGCCGTTTCTGACGGTTCAGGTCGTTAATGTTGAGATGAGTTAAAACAATGAGTTTAACAAAGATGTCGCCATGTTCGTTTGTTGACCACATTTATTCTGTCAGAGTAACGGAGCCACACGACGTCCTGTGTGCAGTGTGTAATGTGTGTGTTGTGTTTGTGTAATGTTTGTGT